CTTAATTGGAAAAAATTATATATATAGGGGTATTATTGTAATTATTCCTAAATATATAGGGTAAAATTATATATATTTTTGGGTCGGGTCGGGTATTTTTCACCCTAAACCCGAACTCAACCCGACCCGAATATCACACTTAAAAAAACCGACCCGACCCGACCAAAATAAAGTTTCACCCGACCCGACCCGAATATATGAATTAGAAACCCGACCCGACCCGAAATAATAAAAATATATTTTTATTCAATATATGAATAAGTTACCAAAAGATTGATGAGTGTAGTATGATCAAATTTCAATTCCCTCCAACAAGGGAATTGAATTTCATCATAGAATGGATGTAATTCACTTTCCCTCATTTGATGTAAAGTTGAAGTCATGAGGGATTTCAATTCCCTTTGAAAACTTGAACCAAACATGGGAAAGTGGTGGAATTGGATTTCAATTCCCCCTAATTTCAAAGGATTCATGCGAACCAAACGCTACCTAAGAGTCTTGTATTCTCTAGATGACGAGAGTCTCATGATTGGACCTCTAATAAACTCATATAATAATTCGTCAGAGACATATTTGACAGCTATCATCATAACCCTGATACTAGTCGTTTTACATTCAAGGTATTTATATCTCGAGAAAAGATTGAAGAGGGAGACCACTTTTTGGTGTTCTCAAAAAAATTCTTTGTCGTCCCTTCGATGACGCCTCATCTCCTATCATAAAATGCCGATCAATTTCTTACCAGTCACAACACTCCGTTCAAATTAAAATGGGTGAACCATTCACGACCGATCAGTCAAAATCATTCCATCAACATTATACAATATTAAATATATATGTTTAATATCTACCAAAATGAGTATTAATTAATTAATTTTATTACCCATGTATTGTAAAATAATGTTACTTTTAGTTAAAAAAATGTTTTGAATGTACTTTTCTTCTAATAACACCTCTTTATATTATGCATTTATCACGTCCCAAAGGACTCTCTTTGCCTAGTTTGCCAAACACATTGCTCGTGATTGTATATTAGCAAAAATAGTTTGGCAGTCTATGAATTACCAGTGGCCATTGCAAGGAGACCAATGGGACTTTAATCTTTGGTTGTCCTGTTTATTAGAAAACATCCCACCGCAAAACACGGTGTGATATTGTGCATTATGGTTTGCGAGGAATAGACTGTTACACGAGAGGAAGAGAACTCACGAGGATGAAATTCGCACCTTTGTTCGTGACCACTGCTTAGAGTTTAGTCTGGCACTGACCACCTCGATAGATCCATCGCCGCCGCCCGAACTTTTTGGTTTTCTCTCGTTAGATCATTTTTCAAGACAAATTTTGACTCGTGCTTCATTCACGCAAGTAATGTTGAAATATAGAGCCACCTGCACGGTGGCCGGACACTGCTAACGGCAGCAGTGAATGGAGAAAAGAGATAAACAGAAAATATTTGTTTAGTTTCTAAAAATAGGAGAAAGCAAATACAAAGGAATTAGGAATTTATTAGTTGAATATAAAATGGATTCTAAAAGCTTGATTTAATCCACTACATCGGTCGGCTTATATAGCCCACTAACAACATGCTAATAAAGTAACTGAATTACAACTACTTAAGAAATAGACTAACAAACATTAACCAATTCTATTAATATTCTAACGAGTAAAACATCTTGGTCAGCTGTCCTTATAAAAAATGTCGAGGGTTTTGTAAATTAGGGCATGCAGGCGAAGGGTTCAAAGTGTTACCTTTGCTTTTGAGTCGGAGCCCCGGGGAAGTTCTGATGTGTGACGGTTAAAAAACGGTTAAAAACGGCTTGATTGGTTAAATAAGTTATCGATTAAAATGTAGATCGGTTATGTTATATCATTTAATCGAAAATATTATCAAATACAATAACATATTAGGTAGCGCTTATATAATGTAATAGGTACCGCTTATATAATAAAATAGGTTAATTACTTAATTTATTATTTCAACATATTAAGTAAACTCCTAAAATGTTACTAAGGATAAACTCCTAAAATGTTACTAAGGATAACATAACCGATTAATTACTGGAAACATTATCAAACACAATAACATATTAGGTAGCGCTTATATAATAAAATAGGTTAATTATTTAATTTGTTATTACAACATATTAGGTAAACGCTTAAAATGTTACCAAGGATAACATAACCGATTAATTACTGGAAACATTATTGTAATTACTTACTTAATTTGTTATCAGTTATAATAAACTTACCTTATGAATAAATGTTAACAAAATTTAAACTACCTATTACATTAAAATACCTACCGGTTTTTTTTAAGGTTGTTAATAATGTAAACGGTAAAAAAAATAGGCGCTACCTATTACATTAAAATACCTACCAGTTTTTTTGAAGGTTGATAATAATGTAAACCGTAAAAAAAAATAGTGCTACCTATTACATTAAAATACCTACCGATTTTTTTGATGGTTGCTAATAATGTAAACGGTAAAAAAAATAGGCGCTACCTATTACATTAAACTACCTACCGGATATGTTGAAAGTATCGATTCCATTTAAATAAGTATCGACACTTTTGGAATTTAAAAGAAAAGCAGTTATAGCGCCTATAAAGTATCAATACTTTATATAAATGTATCGATACTTTACAATATAACAGGTAAAAATATGACAAAACTAGTTTCATTATGACAAAACCGGTAAAGAGCTACCTGATATGTCTAAAGTATCGATACTTTAAAAAAATGTATCGATATTTTACAATATAACAGGTAAAAATATGACAAAACCAGTTTCATTATGACAAAACCGGTAAAGAGCTACCTGATATGTTGAAAGTATCGACACTTTATAAAAATGTATTTATACTTTACAATATAACAGGTAAAAATATGACAAAAGTAGTTTCATTATGACAAAACTGGTACTACCTAATATATTGAAAGTATCGATACTTTTTATAAAAATGTATCGATACTTTATAATATAACAGGTAAAAATATGACAAAATCAGTTTCATTATGACAAAACCGGTAAAGAGCTACCTAATATGTTGAAAGTATAGATACTTTTTGTACATGTATCGATACTTTGTTGAAAGTTATGTAATTTATGCTTCAAAAATTTTTAATAGTGTTTCATGTTTTCCACCTACAATATTAATTTAATAATTTCATTTACACAAAAAATTATTTGATTGTTTAGATATTTTATAAAATATTATTTAGAATTTAAATTTAACAATTTTAACCAAATATGATAACAAATATGTAATATCTATGTTTATTATTTTTAATTTAATAATAATATATACCGTAACATAAAAATAAATCATTAGACACGTATAATTACTAAATTAATATCTTAAAACTCACTCAAAATATAACTTTCAATTAATGTTTTCCATACTGAAATAAGTATGGACACTTATATATATGTATCGATACTTACCGATAACCAAAGTTTACCGGTTACCAATTTTTTTAATAGTTATTCATGTTTTCTACCTAAAACATTATTAGTCTGTCAACATAATAGGTAGCGTTAAATCGAATTTGTTAAATATCTTTTAATGTATCTAATAACGCCGTATATTAGTCTGCTTTTTCTGAGACAACCCCGAGGCGGGTGCAGCAATTCAGGCTATGGAATTTGCGATTGAGTTGGGCTTAACGAGGATAGTTTTCAACAGTGACAGATGTATTTATATCTTAGGGTGGACACATGTCTATATTGAAATTTAAACTTTTTATATTTATTGTTCATTTTATTGATGATATCTACCTTAAAATTTGATTTTTGTTATATTTTCTATTTATTTTATTGATATTATCCACCCTAAAATTTTATCGGTGTCTGCCTCATATAAAAAGTTTCTATTATTATTACATATGTGTCTATCCTAAAAAAATATTTATAGATCAGTCACTGACGGGAATGCTTCAAAAGATAAACTCCCCCGACCTTGATTGCCTGGGAAGCTAAGCAGCGGGCTTTTCTGTTGGGAGCTTGTAAGTTTAGTTTCACTCCTCGTTCGGGCAACCAGGCAGCTCACCTCTGGATCTGGGAGCTTCTTTTTCGGGATCTCGTGAATGGTTAATTAGTTATAAGCTTGAGCTTCCTTTTCCATTTCTCTCAACTTTCATCATTTTAGGCCTCCAATCTCCAGAAGGCCCCATCCTGTGTATCAACAACTGTGGTTTCTTTGGAAGCGCAGCTACCATGAATATGTGTTCCAAATGTCACAACTCACAAGGCAATCATCCTGAAGCAGGAGCAGGTGCAAGTGCAACTCATAGCATCAACCATTGCAAGGATTGTTAGTGGCAGCTCTAGTGGGAATGCCAACCAACTTATCTAAAGTGGCTGCTGCTTTGGCTCTACATTCCGGAAATTTCGTATCCATCGATCCATCCCTTAAGATATTTGATATTTGGTGGGATGAAAACAAAAGAGGGTCGCAACAGGTGTACCGCATGTCACAAGCGTCTCGGTTTGACAGGATTCAACCGGTGTGGAAACATCTTCTGCGCAGCTCATCGGTACTCCGACAAACACAACTGTCCTTTCGACTACAGGACTGCCACTCGAGATGCTATTGCTAAAGCCAACCCTGTAGTCAGGGCCGAGAAGCTTGATAAGATCTAAAGTGCCAAGGATGAAGGTGGAGATTTGTGTAATGAATATGATGTTTCTCCCTCTACTCATTTGTGTCATCAGCTCAATCATAGGGCAGGTTAATGTAAGTTCTGTGCTTTGTATGCCCCCTTGAATGATATAAGGAGTTGCAAAGTCCATGATAGGGAGGACATCGTTGCAGTGTAAGGAAAGTTTGAATTCCTTCAATTGGCTGGCGTTATATGAAGTTCGCCCCAATTTGTATTTTGTGCTGGTTTGATGGAACATGGACATGATTACCTTGTAATGCTTCTTTCTTATATGCATTTCTTCTATGACTACCTTCAATATGTGCAATGATGGGAACTAACAATTCAACAACATTAGAAAACAAAAACGTAATTGATCATAGTTCGTTCATGATTTTACAACATGAATCAATCAACCCCAAGTATTAGATTGAATGACCCTGAGTTAGTAATAATATTTATATGGTACAAGATATATTCAATCCAGTCATGAGAAATCAAAGGTTTCCATTTGACTCCGCTAAATACAAGACCCAGAAACCTAGCTATAAATGGTGAGGCCTCTCCTCTACTTCCTCGTAGTTTCTAATATTCAATGTATATACAATACTAGCTACCATTAAACAATTTTCCATAAATCTAACCGTTGAAACTTCTTCACAATTCATAGCTCCATCTTCAGTTGATTTGCATGCAATGTCACTGCACCGAAGTTGCAACAGAAGTTAATTATTGTTATCAGCTTACTTGACATTAGAACGAATATACAACTCATTAGTATGAATCAATAAGTTATGACTAATACCGAACTTGATAAAAGTTACATGCAGCAAACATCTCAAAGCTGACAAGATCTAATACTTGAGGAAATAATTTACTAGACACCCCTCCCAACTTTCTTCCCCCCTAAGTTGTCAAGTATGATAATAACCACTGCAGATAATGAAAGGGATAAATATTTTGTTGGTTGCCCATTGGCCATTTTAACCAAGGGAATAAGTAATTCAAGTATTTCTTGTTTAAGTTGGAACTTGAAAGTTTGCAATGATTCAAAATGGTACACAGTTGTCTGCATATTTATTGATCATAGTAGTTAGAAAGCAATCTACCTGAATTTGCCGAGGTGTCATAAGTTAAAAGTGAGTTCTCTGGAGTAATGTAATTATTGCAGACTTCTTCTCTTCCCCAAACAGGCTGCTGAAGTGCATCAAAATGCCATTCGTGTTGATACTGTTGTCTGTGTCCATTGCCTTGAACCTCAGGCCACATCACGGGCATAACCAAGCTGGGGAAGTTGCTGTCCATTGGAGATCCACTCTATACATGTTAAAAGATGGTCAGACATGTTAGCAGAAACTTCCAGGTACCAGAATCAACAGCTATTATCCTGTCATCAGAAGAAAAACCTGATGGACTACCGTGTAAATGAAGCATAGGTACTTATTCCCGACATAATCTACTACATGGTTAATTTATTTTTTATTTTTTGATAAAAAGGAATGCTTCATTAAAAACCCCTTCATATCCGTCAAGCAACAAAGACTCAACGGACATTGGAAGGAGGAAAAGAGTGCCTTAGAAATTTTATTGCATAAGGACCAAGTACATTAAGAACACAGTACCACCCAAAAACGATGGCAGCCCACTCAACACAGTGCAAAACAGCACTACCTACATGTATATGTTAATACCCTGCACAAAAACTACCTCCTAGATTAATCAACCAGATACAAACGTATACCATTTCCAAATCTTCCCGATATACCAATAATAGAAAAACAACCCAATTAATTCCCCATCATTTAACCAATTCCTAGTTTGGCAAATTCATCCGCTTCACAATTAGCTACTCTCGCCACATGGCGAACAATGACCCCTTTATTGACCACAATGTCTGCAGTCTCTTTAAAAGTGGATAGAAACATCGGAGTGGAGCTAGCTGGATTTTATCCACTCCACTGCCACCGCACTATCGGATTCCAAAATAAGCCTTCGATTCACCGAGAAACCCGAATCCAGGAACAGATTCAAGCCTCTCCTCAAATAATCAATTTAATAAAAATATGTAGTCATTTCACTACAAGAGGGTATTTTACTTTAACATGTTCTGCTAAGCAGCATTGCATGTCGTTTAAGACCCATGAATTTCAATAATTTCTTGCAATCATGGGCCTTCATGTATGGACCCACTATTCTGATCTTCCATAGCAATGATACATCTTCATTCAGCTGACCGGCAGCCATTGCTCCCATTCAAACATTAATGAATGTGTAGATGGAAGATGGTGGTCCAGACATGATCAACTGTCCACTAAATATTAATGAGGAACAGTCTTCCAAGAAAATGGGTAGGAATCCAGTGGAAGAAGCGATAAAATAGAATGTATACGGGTTGGGCTTTACCGATCTACATAACAAGCTCATAACCAACAATCCTGGAATGAAAAAGAATTTTTCATGAAACTCCTTCCATAAAGGTGCTCCAGAGGAATACAACAGTAGCTCAATTCCCACCAACGTTATAAAAGGCAACATTGCAGAGCTAATTGAAACATGAATGGGAAGAATCACCAGAAGAGCTTTTGATTTCCAACTTTAGATTACACATACAATGCAAAAGTGCTCAAACTTACTTCTGATGTTAATATACTATCAAGGTTGACATCAATTCCTGGGTTCACTGCTGCAAGTCTCATTGATAAAAACTGCAACCAAAGCAAAAATGTTACAAGAATCAGACCACGAGAATGGAAGATACTGCAAGTAAAACCACAGGAAAATGATGCAACAAGTCAGTCTAGTGGGATCTTTGCAAAAATTTTGCAAATTTTTCATGTTATTGTTGGGAGGCAATGCAAATAATTCCATTTAGCCAGCAAAGGGCGTTAACAATAAGAACCAAGAGAAAAATCAACATTGTAAGGGTCCTCCTACACATCTGTGAAACCCACATAAAACTCCTGGTAAATATGTAATATGATTAATCCCAGGTCACCAGACCTTCATGGCCATTTGAAGGTAATTTTTTTAAATGCGTATGATATTAAAAAAATGGGGTAGAAGATTTAATGGCTCATCTAGTGGCCAAGTCCCGCGTCTTGCACCTCATCATTCCAATTGTGTTACTTAAGAAAGTGTAGCAATTCATATTACTACAACTTCAAATTTTCTCGTGTCAAAGAAAAATAAAATCCAATGCTTGCACAATTCTTACCTCCACTTGCCGTTGTAGAGATTGCACATGATTGATGATTTCATCCAACACCAAGGCTGTACCAGAAATCTGCAGCACAAGCTACTTCTCAGATTTCAACAGTCTTCAAAACATTAAAATCCGGTATGCCTTCGAAAGAAATTCAAACTATTTGGTATGTCTTCTAAAGAAATTCAAACTATCTTCTTGTACTTAATGCTTTCAAAGACAATAGTGTAGTTATCAAAGCTCTTGATACCAGCTCCTCATAAAATAATTATAATGTAACAAACACACAACAAGACACCATACATTTGAACTTTTCATTTATTGCTCGTATTTGGAATTACAGAAAACAATTTTGTTTAGGCCATAATAAGGAGCTTCACTTTGCATGGATGATCGAGTGAAAAGATAGTATAAATAAAAATGCTGTTCTCAGTTAATTCAAATGTTGTAAAAAAGTAAAGGCCTGAAAAACAGTTCAAAGATCAAGTCAACTCATTTGAAGCATGTAGGTTAGGATTTAATATAAAAGCATCCCACCTAGAGCCTGATCGTTTGAAAATTAGCACTTCAACTCCCACATGGCTTCCTCCAAAACAGATTCAAAACTAATTTAGATCCTATAGATGTCCACTCTTCCAAAGAATGCGGTGTAAATGCATCAATTTAGATCAATAAAATCAACAATCCCCCCCCCCGCGAAAAAAAATTAGGCATCTCTCACCATGTAAACCATTAAGGAAATCATGACTTCTATTACTAGAAACCAATGGCTGTTTACTGGTTTGCTCAGCTAGTCTTCACTGAATTGTGGTCACTTGATGGACAAAAGGAACGAGAAACTGACTCGAGCTGCTTTCACTTGTTAAAGTGATATTGTGAAATGTTAAGGGATAAATCAAGATTATACTTTGAACAATTAAACCAATCTGTCATGAACTATCACATCAAGTCCCCATGTAGTTAGGCAGCCATTTGGCATATAAAAAATGCATTTTCTTTTGTCATCCTTCTTCTACATATCCCATAGAGGATACATACACAACTTGTACCAGAAGTAAGCAGCTACTCTACATCAATGAAATGGGACCCCATAAATACATTTAATCCAACAAGCCACTACGCATGTCTACTGACCACTTCATGACAATGTCCAGCTAGCATTCCCACATGACTCAAATTTTCATCCACAGTCATCAAAGGCTATGATTGTCATTTTACTATAACCATACACATGACATAGATAATTCAAAGCCAAAGGACATCAATCAAAAGTTATTAAATTTCAGTATTACTAACTTCACTAAAACAGCAATAAAATTGCGTATGAAAAGACAAACTTGGCCTCAAAAAGGAATTCTAACAAACTCTCCCCATGGTGTAAAAACAGCTAAAACGTTAAAGCAACTTGGGCTATAAAAAAAGAGAATTACTTTTTCAATGCAAAAGATGACACGGACGAACCGTTACTAAAGAAAAATAATCTGCTTTTCTATGCCCCATTAAGACATATATTCATGATATAATCACGAAATCAAGATCAAATTATTAACCAACATATTAAACCACAGAACTGACCTTATTACATCCAGGTACCAGCTCCTGTAGTAGCTTCATTCGTGCATTAATTTTCTCTCTTCTTGCCTGTATTAAACACCAAAATTATTAAACAAATAAATATAATAAGCAAAACTTATTAAGAAGTTAATCATGAAACTTAGTGAATTACCCTCTCTGCTAAGCTATGGCTATCCGTTCCTTGTCCCCGGCGTGCTCTAACGTGAACGTAAGGCAGCTTCTGGGCGTCGTCTGAGCTCTCATTCACCGCAGTTTTGCTTTTCTTTGTTGACCCTTTAACCTATGAAAGATCAGAAAACAATTTAATCCAAAAATTTACCCAAAAAACACCCCAACAAACCCTTGATCAAAATTCCCTTTTGGTTTTGGTTTTGGTTTTCCACCTTATTTTCTCGGTCCTTTCTCTTGATACTCCGCGTCTCTAACGTTGGATCGGAAACCAACGGCTGGGATGACTCGGTCTCCGCCGGCTCACTCTTTACCGCCTTCTCAAGATTCGCGCTTAAATTTTTCGACTCAGGGGAGTTCCTCTTCTCATTGTTGTTGTTAGTTTCTCCAGAAAACCTCCTATCTCGTTCAATCAAACCAGTATTAGAAGGAAAATGGAAGTTTCTTTTGAAATCTTCAACGTTCGTAGGCGAGGCAGCGATAAGCTTCGGCGAGTCGGAAGCGTGAAGAAGCTCAACGACTTGTGGAGACGGTAGTTCAAGCAGAGCCGTGAAGGAACTGGCGTTATCAGTTGGCGGAGCCGAAATCAAACGGTGGGTTTCGTCGGTGAATTGGAGCGATTCGAACGCCGTAACTTCGGCCCCATCGGGCGCCGTTAATTTAGATCTGGTCTCCGCCGTCCCTGCTTTTGACTCCATGTATGAAAGGTAATATAAGAAGCACCCAAAGTAAAAATTTGGAAAGAAGTACCCAGCTCAATTTTCTGGAAAATAAAATGTACCTACTTGGTTAGTTAAACCCAATTCAGAGACTGAAGAGCTTAAGGAAAGAAAGCTTTGATTAGTTTGTTCAATGGCGGTGAGGCGAAACTTAGAGAAAATATGAGTTTGTTGCACTGCAAAAGAGGTTACTTCTCAGCCATTTCAAGTACAGGGAAAGCAACGTTGCAGGGGACGTTTGGTTTATTTTATTTTTTTATTTTTGGTTTAACCAAATAGATAAAATTTTACCTATTGATACTTTTTTTTTTTTGAAAAGGGTACCTTGTATTGATACATAACAAAGTATATCATCTCTATGACCTTGTTAAAAAACTTTCTTAAATTTATTGGAGGAAAAAAGTGTACCATGAGGTGATACCTGAATACAATCTGAACAGACAAAAACGCTATAACCCAAAAACGCAAACCGCACCTAATTCCTAAAACTTGAACCATAAAAACAAAAACCATGTACCACATTACAACCAAAAAGCAAGTAAACTAACACCCTGTGAATATCAAACCAATTAGGTACGGTAAACTGCATAAACATTACAGTACCATCAACAAACTAAAATTGCAAAACTGGAAAAAAATATGCAACATAACAGCAGAAGCGATCATCCAAGAACGAAAGACTCGGGGCTACGAACAAAATCTTACACGTATGGAATCAAGGTAGGCCAATAAATATTATACCAGACCCCTACCTGAAATAAAACTTTAGAAAAGATCTGATCCACTGTAAACGAAACACCCTTAAATCAAATTAAAAATTATAAATATTTATTATAAAATAATTCTTTTAATCCAATTTATTTCACTTATATATATCTTAATATCTGAATTTTTTACGCTACTTAAATAATCCAATGACTCATCCTATTACAATTAATTATAAATAAATTGGGCAAATTCAACGAGATAATGCTCTCAAATTCTTTATTTCACGAAATAAGGCAATCCCCAGATTAATTGCTCAAATGGGGTGATTTCCACAGTGTTGTCGTAGGTCGCCAGGGCATCCCAGCGACATGGTAGGTCGCCATGCACGCCAGGCGACATGGTAGGTCGCCATGCACGCACAGCGACCTTATAGGTCGCCATGCACGCCCGGCGTCCAACGTTCTGCCCACCTGCTGCTATGCTTTGGTGCTTTGCATGGGCCATGCACGTGGCATGGGATAGGTAGCCATACAATCCTCTCCTCGCGTGTGATTCCACTTGCAACTGCTCAGGAGAACCTATTCCTCCTACTCCTCGCGTGATTCCTCTTAGGAGACCTCATGCATGCAGCTGTAATAACTGTATTATTGCAGCATGATTTGAGCTGCAAAGTGTCATAGCTTCGTGTCCTAGCTTCGAGCCATAGCTGCTCCCTCATGCCATAGCTTCGAGACTGTCCACTCTTGTTATCATAGTTGTATTGGTGCAGCGTAAAATCAGCTGTTACATGCAGCAATTAGTGTTGTATTATTGCAGCGTTCAACGGTTGAAAAATTTACAGCCTTCAACGTGAATTATACAGCTCAAATTGATTGCAGCTTACCAACCGTGCAAAGATCATTATATATTGGATATGAGGGGTTTAGGGTAGAATCATAAGAAAGAAAGAAAATTTGGCGAGAGAAAGGAAAGGAAATGAAAAGAAGAAGAAAAGGAAAGGGAGATAAAGGCTCAAACATCGTTCGTGAGGTAATTTTTAATTGTTTAATTTAGTTTATTAATATGAAATTATGAAATAATTAGTTTGTTAGTTTAGGGTTTAGGGTAAAACAGAAATTTAGTTAATTAGTTTGTTAGTATAAATTATTAGTTTTTTGTTAGTTTAAGTTATATATTAGATTATATAAAAAAAAATTAGTTAATTAGTTTCTTAGTTTAAGTTATTAAATGTAAAAAATATTTAATTAATTTGTTAGTGTGTTTAAACGTATATTAGGTTGTTTGTTGAAGTTTAAGTTAAAATATTAAAAAAGTTAATTAGTGCTTAATTAGTTTGTTAGTTTGTTATTTTAACTAAATTATATTATAATAAAGAAATAGTTTATTAATTTAAGTTATATTATTATAATATATTAGATTATATAAATTTAATTTTTTTAATTTATTGTTGTTTAAAGAAATAATTTTTTTACACGTACAGAGCATTATTCCACAACATTTTCCCACGTACATATTGATTCGAAGAAAGAAACAAGAAAGGAAAGGAAAGGAAATGAGCAACAACTTTTTCACGATTGTCCATTATAATGGACAGATTATGGAAGATGAGGTCGAAGTAGTTTTTCAGTCTGAAAAACCAATAAATATGATGTTAAAAAAAGACATCATATTTATAGAAATGAAGCATAAGATAGAAAGAAAAATTCAAGTTGCAGTTGATGGTTTGAGGTATAGGTTTATGATATGCCCCAACCCAATCAAATATGCTACAATTCCACTTGAAGAAGATGATGATATTGGAACCATGGTTGGATTACATGAGTCAACCAATATAGCAGTTATTGAGTTATTTGTTGATGTGCATAACATATGTGATGTTCCTGGGTCATCAAGAGGTGTGGCTCAAAATCCATCTGAAATGGCTTTATATAGTCAGTTTGAGGAGCCGACATACAGGTTCCCGAACAGTTTTATGGCACTATTGGAAAGTGTAAATGAAGTCGGGGGGACATCTGCTGCAGAAGAGTATGAGACGAGAAACATACCGGAATTGGTTGTTGATATTGACGCTGAAAATCGATGGGGAGAAATTCATGATGATTCAAGCGAAGATGAAGAAACCGAAGAACCCGTTTTGGGCGGCGACGAAAATATTTTTGGTGGAGGTGCAATTGATGAAGTTCCGGCACCGTATGAACCTACTCATCACATGTACGAGATAGACTATGATGCGATAAGGGCACCTGAATTCCCAGACATGCCACATTTACCTCCGTACCAAATGACTGAATCATTCGATAATTCTGGTGAATTTTCAGTTGGGGTGTAATTCAGAGGAAAAAATGAAGCTACGCTGGCGATTAAAGAGTACTGCATCAAATGCCATGTTGATGTCCATGTTGCAGATTCTAACCAGAAAACCCTATACGCGAAGTGTGTAAAATATGGCCCAGAGTGCAAGTAGAATATCAGAGTATCGAAAAATCAAAGGCACGATGTTTGGGTCATCACGAGGTACAATGGTCCGCACACATGTTTGCGAAACTCCATCGAACAAGACCACCGACTATTGGACTCCGATGTAATATGTGAATACGTGAAGGAGATGGTTGAAAATGATCCAAGGATATCTTGTTCAGTGTTAGCTACATCTATTCGAAGCCAATTTGGATATCAAGTAAAATATGGCAAGGTGTGGAATGCGAAAATGAAGGCAATGAAGCTGGCGTATGGAGATTGGGATACATCGTACAATGAGCTACCACATTTGCTACAAGCAATGAAGCGATTTATCCCAGGAACCATAGTGAAGTCTCAAACCATGGTCGCATATGACGAAGAAGGTCAACTTCTGGCAGGGAAGAAAATATTTCATAGACTATTTTGGGCATTCAAGGCATGTATTGAATGATTTTTTATTTTGCAAACTTATGATCCAAGTAGATGGTACGTGGCTGTATGGTCAATATAGGCATGTACTTTTGATGGTAGTTGCTCAAGATGGTGAGCGAAATATCTTCCCAATTACATTCGCCATTGTTGAGGGAGAGACAACAGAGGCTTGGGATTTCTTTCTGACTAATCTACGTCAATATGTCATTCGTGAAGATGGAGTTTGCTTGATATCCGATAGAGGAACGGGTATTTTGGCGGCAATTGAATGACCAGGAAGTCGTTGGATACCTCCGTATGCATATCCGACATTTTGTATCCGTCATATTGGCAAGAATAGTATCGACCAGTTTCATAACGCACATATTCGTAGCGAGATAGTCAGCATGGGTAAGTTTTATTTAACATTTTTGTGCATTTTTACGTGGTTTTTTAATTGCGGTTTAACACAATATATTATGGAACAGGATACGAGCTACGTCGACCAAATTTTGACAAGAGATTGGAGAATTTGAAGGCATTTTACGATGATCATCGTGTTTGGAAGTGGGCTTCAAAAAATACCGCGGGAAAAATGGTCGCAAGCATACGATGAATGTAACATCCGCAATACCGGGTTAGTGACCAAATTGTAAAGTTTCAGAATTTGGTGACTAAAGTATAAGAATGAAATAGTTCAATGATTATTGGATATATATGATGAAGGTTAATTAGTAATTATTAAAAGGAAATTAAGGGTTAAATGGTCATTTGACCAGAAAGATTTTTATCTTTCTTTTAAAGGTGATATAAACGTGGGAAGGGTGAGAAGAAAAGAAAGTTCTGGAGCTGGGTCATTTCCTTCCTCCTCTCTTCCCGTATGCTCCATGGCAAAGGTAAGTTTAATTTCAGTTGGTTAATTCTTGAGTTTTAAGCTTAGTTTTGATTCTTTGGGTATTAAATAAGCTTAAGGAAAGCTTATATGAGATTTAAACAATAAGATAAAGGAATTATGAAGGAATTTGCAATATGAGTTTTAAGATGAAATTTTGATATGGTATGGTTGTTGAAGTTTTATGGATGAATTTGACTTGTCATCAATCTAATTAAGAAGTATGAAGTGTTAGAATTGGAATTAGAACACCTTGAAAATTTGGTATGATTCTTGAATCTCATATGGAAGATAGGATTTTGAGGTTTAAGATGAAATAAATGAATATAGATTGGTTTAAGTATGTGTACTAGAGTTAAGAATGAAAAGGGGATGATATATTAAGTGTTTGAGAGGAAATGAAGTAATTTTTGAGTTACAAATATGATTTCTGGGCAAGGGGAATCGGTACCCATTCAAGGGGAACCGATACCCCTTCAAACGAACAAAAATTTCCAGAATGTCATGGGGGAACCGATACCCCCACAGGAGGGAACCGATTCCCCCTAAAGGAAAATTGTAAATATTGGTTTAATAAGTTCGTTTAAGTTGCTAGTATCCAACTACAAGGTGTAGGTATCTAATGATTGCCTCAAAATGTACATTTATGTAGATTCTACGCATAAAGCAATTCCGGAACATTTGGCAAGTAAGATCGATCAAGGGAAAGATAAGAGATTGGAATTGACTAGTGAGGCCAAGGTGAGTGCA